GCTGGCCAATAGAGGCCGCTGTCTAAATCTCCTTCGACGCCGCGGCGCTACGTAACTAGTTCGGCAATGTCCGTCTTAGCTAGCGCTAGATGCTCTCTCCGCGGCATTTGTCTAACAGTCTCCATCCTTATCCGCCACATTGTGTTACTATCCCAAGAGGTCATGAATAGGCACAGTGTATAGAAAGTGCGTCGTTAAAGTCGGTACATTTAAGGAGGGGGTTGGTTCGAAATCGTCGACGCCGACGACAGAAGGCATTTATAAGCGGCTAACAGTCAAGAACAGAGTTTCGAGGAAGAGGCAGCTGTCTTAAGAGACTATTAGCTTAATAGTAGTGAGAAACTGCAAGCTAGAGTCCCGTACATAGCTTGATGGACGGGAGCAAGGTAGCAGGGCGCTCCCCAGACTGGTGTGGAGACGCTGCGAGCCCGCGGAACCGTTGCTGAGGCCTCAAACCACGAGATATTTAGTAGCGCCGGGACGGTGTGGGTTTTCACGACGTAGTCAAGGCTACGGTTTTTAGTAGAAGGGGAGGCGTTTAGGCTGCGTAGGAGTTGGCTGCTGTCGCTGTAGTAAGGTTCGATTAAGCTTTAAGATTTTGCCGAGGCACAGAATGCCGCCTTTCTATAAACGGACTAGCGACGGAAGCCTAGTCGTCGAGGCTGCAGCGACATTATCGAGCTAAAGGTGCACTACTGCCGCCGTTAATCTGAAGCCAATTTGCCTCCAGGTCGCAGTCCTCCGCGGAAATTACGTTTAGTACACCGCTACCGCCAACTATCACGTTCTTTAATTCCTTACCTAGTTCTGCTACGAGTCCCTCCCCTTACCCACCTGCTAATCCAAGCGGAAAGGGTAACCTTTCGGGCTGGCGTTTCGCGGTGCGGTGGCATGCTGGAGGGCAGGACGGAAACGATAGCTTCGGCGCAAGAGGTCCTAGGTACACAGGTCGCGACACGCAAGGCTAATGGGCAGGAGCAGGACTAACAGCGTGCTGCATACTCTTATAAGTTCATAATTTATCGAGTCTTCTCCGTGTTTCGTTCAAATCTCGCATTGGTGTGAAATTGCCAGCTCGACCATGGAATTCGCCTATGGATTTCGCCCATGGAAACTGTTCATGGCAACCTACGCGCTCCGCACGTCCCATACTAGCACGCGCATAGCGAGACGAACTAATCGAGTACATGCGGGCGCGCGTTGAGGCGGGTCGGTCTTTTGGTTTTCTTGCTCGCTCGTCGTGAATTTAGCCTTCGGCCACCACCCCAAGCTCGCCGTCACCACCATCATCCACTCTGCACTGCTTAGGATTAGTCAATAGCACGAAGCAAAAGTCGCCCGTGATTTCACAGAATTTTATTATCGCGATCTCAGGCCTGCACCTTGCTGCAGGCTCTGCCGACGACGAACGCGCGCGGCCTCATCACTCTGCACTACGCGCACAGGGCATTCGGGATGCGGTACCTCAACAACGGCTGCGCCGAAGATGCATACGTGACTACTGCTAAACGCACTACGGTATGTATAAAGTCCACATTAAAGTATCGATGGTGTATTTGGTAATGGTAAGCAGTAGTAGGGGTGCGTAGTTGTTCCATGGCCGTTTTCCATGGCGCCGATTTCCAAGCTCGATTTCGAACATCGAAACCCCGAACGAAAATAATCCGAGAGCGCAGTACTTCTACCTGACATCGCGCTAGAATTGCTTAGAAACGTATGCGACGGTCGTACAAAGCCACGCAGCCTTTGCATGGGGAGTCGTTGCAGGTACGCGAGCTCTGGTGTGAATTAGTTGCCGCAGCTCCTCGCGGGCTTGCTAACACGTGCATCCCTCATATTCCCAACACCAACCATGCCATGCGGTTCCCCACGAACACCGCCTACACCACTGCGAACCACGATTAGAAATCAATTCTAGGCGTAAACTTGGCGAACGGCGTTGTCCTCGTCGATGTGCAGCCTCTGCAGGGCGCGGGCTGTCTGATTGGCTAGAATAATTTTTCGTCCGAAGTTTTGATGTTCCTGCAGATATTCCTCCGGCGTAATTCCGAGATCCTTGACTTCGGAATCATCGAGGTTAAACGATCGAAGATCGTGAGAGTAGTTGCCCCTTTCTACGACGATGAACAATCACGTCATTCCTAGTAGCATCATGCCATTGCCCGTAAGATCGCCAGGCATGACGACGAAGCGAAAAGACGCCGCGCAGAGGAATTCTCTTCGAATCTAAGGGTACGGCCATTTTGGGTATATATTTTAAATAAACCTAGCCTGTTTTTATTTAATTTTTATCATGAGCACAGTTAGCGGTTCAACGCCAAGGCATTGAACATAACTAGCCGCAAAGACTATGCTAGGATTCTAGTAACGACTAGGCGGCCCTGCTACTGTAGTTAATCGTGCACGCCATGCTACGCTAGAGTTCGACTCTAGTCCCCGCCATAGTGGCCAGATGACAGTTGGTGGCTTTACAGGAACTTTGTGCTAGACGAAGTCCCCCTTTGCATCTTAGGGTTATTAGGGTCTAGTATTTAGAAGGACAATTTCGGCCGTGCATGGCTGGGTTGTCCTTTCCGTCTGCCGTTTTTTTCTAATCGGGATGTCTTTTTTTGGGTGGCTTTCTTTTAAATCGCGGTGGGGTCTTTTTGTTTTAGCTTGGAATGGCTTCTAGAGAGACTGGAATGCGTTTTGAAGGTGTGGGTTGCAAAATGCGGCGTGTTTCGTTGCGGTGGTGGTTTGGTCGAATTGTTGGCATGCGCTTCGCTTTACCAGACGCCCGTGGGGGGTACGCAAAATTTCGGCATGGATGAAATCAAGAAAACTGCAGACTAGTCATGTATAAGTTGGCGGCTTTTCTTCGCAAGAGGGAGGCTGAAGTCCTCAATAGTATGTGGATGTGGTTGCCTAAGTCTCGCACCAAGGCGAGAAAAGGTTAACGAACTCTTCCCTTCTCCAAGCCCACTATAATATCTAGAACGCCTCTACCGTGTAATCGTGTTATAAACGGCGAATAGGTCTAGGTCTAAGTGAAATTAACTGCGCCTATCTGATAGGCATTACAACTACAACATCAGCATGCTGATTTAACTGATGTGCATGCATGTATAGCATGTATCCACGTGCACGGCTCCGTACGCTTCTCTTTGAGTGAGCGGAGCTATACGATCCAACGTGAGGGGCAGACATAGAGCAAGAATGTACGACGCGGTTTAGAGGTGGAGCTTTTCACTAACTAATAGCAGAGATGGGAGCTAGATGTGGTTACCTCCCTTGTGTGTGAGCTGAGGAGGATAATCATTTTAAAATTCTTCTATTCTGTCTTATTAATGCGGATTTTAAATCGCTGTGGCGTCTGTCTGGCTTTACTTAGAATATTTCTCTAGGGGAGGATATTCCGGAGCCAGAGGTGCTTAAAAAAGCCGTATAGGTTTCCCCAGTAGTGGGAGAGTACGCTGAAGAGCGTCAGGGTAGGTAATTACAAGAGGGATTCTGTCTCGTTGGTGCGGAGTAGCGAATTCCTAGATGCTGCGCTAGTTGGCTTTCCTTCTATCCGTTCACTCTGCGAGGTGTGTACTCTTACTATTTTAGCTATTCGTTAATGTGGGAATGCTTCTGGCAGGGAAACCAGCAACAGGCCTAATTGTGAAGGCATAACTGAGACTAATAACAGGTGTAGCAAGCCAGAGATGCACTGTTTACGCCGCCTTCATCCCAGGCGGCTGTAACTCCTTCTCCATGTCCTCAAGTTGCTATGGACTCTTCCCACAATGTCAACGACCCCACAAACTAGATATCGACGTCCTTTGACGCTTTCCAACCGCTCGAGTAAGCCACTCGGGACCACAAAGGTGTCATCCAGTCGCAGTCTCGGAAGGGCGGCGCAGGAAGAGGATGAATGATCCAGCTGGCGTTGAAGCGGACGAGATGGAGACTTGCTTGCTGTTATAAAGTTAGAGTTACGGACTAAGCTAGAGTATTAATTTATAAAGTGGATATTCCAGATAGATATACAACTAGGGAAAGTTTGGTCGCGGAGAGTGTGGTGATGGAACGGCGCTGGATCCGTCGCAGTTTCGAGATCGCAGTTTCGAGAATATCTAATCTAATGGCATAATGATTTGGGTGCGTGCATTGCTTCAAGGTTCCGTATACGTGGTGCTGGCTCCTTCGTTTCAAGGTAGCTGATAGATGTACGCCTCGGGGAATTCCTGGAAGACCTTAACGACTCCGCAGGATGTGATTTGGATGGCCTCAGGATGTAATCTGGGTGGCCTTCTTGAAGGAGAACTATTCCTAGGACAGATTCGCTACAATTCATAAGTTGGAGCTGCCAGTTGTGGGAAAAGGTTGGAGCCAGAAAGATTGCCTTAGACCAGATGTGAGGATTGGAATGGACATATAATCCCGGACCTTTACGAGGATGATGGTACACTCCATCAAACATCGCTGAAGGCGTAAACTGCCCTTTCGTAATCGTACCCCCACACCAACGGAGAGTCTGCTCAGAGCCAGGAGGACGTGATTGGCACAATCCTTATTCGAACAGCTAATCGTATACAATGCTGTAGTAGTTCTCCAATGGGACTTCGTCCCCAACGCGGATCTTCGCCTGCTTGATGGCGCGGAGATATTGAGAAGCGTATAGTGTAGATCTGATAGATTGAATGAGATCTAACGTGTGTCGCCAACTTCTAAGGTGTACTTGTCTAGTGATATTAGCACCCCTAGATGCATAACTTGCCTCTGGTTACTAACGAGCCCACGAGCAGAGAAGCTCCTCAACCACGTGTCTCCCACCAATGAACGAGTCTCACGAGGGCAGGAAAGCCACAGCCACCCCCCTGCACGCAAAATTTCGACTCCGCTAGAGCAAGGAACGAGCCAAACGGGCCTACGAAGCGCGCCAACAGAGTATCAACATCATTTGGGCAAGCAGGGTCCGTCGTTGTGCGTAATGAAAGGCCAGGAAATGCCCTGCGAGGAGCGCGACCATTTTCGGGATGCTCGCCAAGGAACACGGCGACGGAGATCCGGCTCTTTCCGTAGCTATCTTCTCGGATGTCCTCGAGGATGGCCGGAGAATGCGTCCATGGACGGAGCCCGCCATGGTTTTGTGGGTAGCCGTGCTCCTCTTAGCAGTATTGTCCATCGGGATTGCGGTTGCTGAGGTCCTTTCTCCATGGAGATGTCCATGGAAGATCCTCGAAGATGTGGTTGGCGTGAGGGGGCCGGCTGTATCAATGCGGTTGACTTCTTTTGACCCCCGGCGAAGCCGTGGGCAGGGGAAAAAGGAGCTGGAATGGGTTAGGTGCGTTCTCGTAATGAGTGATGGCTCCAATGACGATAGAGGGGTGCTTTGGTTTGAAGCGGTATATCGGTCTCTGAAATGGCTATTAGATACTCGGAGAATTGCGTCGAGACGGTAGATGCGCCGTTCTAGCTCAGCTTCGACAGCACCTTGTGATACTGGGGCCCACTGAGGCAACGTCGAAGGCCAGTGAGAAACCTTGGGGCCTCGTAAAAGCGGCCTTGGGGCCAGAAACGGGAGACGTCGAACGAGGTATCCACCGGACGAAAGTGACATGCTTCTCAGGGCTGTTCGGTTCGTAACTCCTGGGTAGAATGGTTCAGGAGCAGACAAGAGGATACTTCCGCAACATCCAGGGTTGACACCTCGAGAAATCTCCTGCCGTGGAATGGTTATCCAAGTGGTCTCCTTTTCTATGTTCGATGTGCGGCGGTTAATCCCGCTCTTTCAACGACAGCTTGGCGGACTTCGAACATCAATCCACAACAACCGCATGAACCCTAGCGGACCCACAGATTAGCACCGCGACGCAACTGCTCTTTACAGCGACGTTTCGGGAACGTAAGCGAGTGGGACTTATAGTTCGCGATTGGATCTACGAAAGCTTGGATCCCTAGAGTATGGCTACTATTGGTCAGTCATTACTCTGTGGACAATAGGTAGAGCCACTAAGCATCTATCTAATCGAGAAAGGCTTCGTGATGTATTCTCGGAATGGTTTACGGGCTCTAATAACAATATACACGAGGTGCCCTATCGCATCCTACGCCTAGGCTCTTAGTTACCCGTATGCGATTTCGCCTTAGAACACAAGGCGACGAAGCGGGATTAGCCGGAGCTCGAGTTGAGTTTAATCCAAACTCGATCCGAGCAACACCGATGCGACATGGGCCTGGAAACAGCAACTGCTGATAGGTACAGTGGCTGCTAGTATTTGGAGGGTCGAGGTAACGAAGACCGCGGTTCGAGTGCTGATTCGGTGGTATGGCAAGCTTACCTTAGGCCTACGTGCTCATGATGGTGGAAGTGCCGAACGTGGGCTACGCAAGCGTCAGAGCGTCGGAGCATCAGAGCGAAAGCCCCGACGTCACCCGCACCCCCGCAGACCGTGACCTCGACAACCTCTTAGCTCTTTCTTTAATATTCCTGTACGCAGTCGCACAATCTGACTGCTTCGGACGTTTTGCAAGCTCTTGCCAGGTATGAATCTGCTCGCAACGTTCTTCTCTACTGCTCCCTCCTTACACCTCGGCGTTTCGCTGCGCTCGGTTCGCTCCCGTCTTCTATGCCGTGGCTTGTTCGACGCGCGGCGTTTACACACTCTGCCGCGCGCCGGAAACTAGCGACTTTAGTTAGCGGAAGCATAGATTCCGCTAAGCTTCACGACCTTATTACGCTTTACTTGTATTGACATTACTATACAAAGGGTAAGGCTTCCTCTCTAACCGCTTGTCGGTCGCGGTCTCTAACTATTCTTTAGCTCTCCAGCCTTCCGATGCAATCTTCTTCGACGCGATAGTCCCTGGCCCCCGGCTCTTAACGCGAGACGAATACCCTGGGTAGAAGCCAACTGCCTCAACATCTAGGGTGAGTGGTCGTGAGGATCGATCGGCGCGCCGTTAAGTAACAACATTATCGCCAGTAATTGCGTCAGGCTCTGCGAAAGCGGAGAGTGTACGTAGACAAATCGAGAGTGCGGTTTGCGAAAAGGTTAAGATCGCGAGACCTAGCGCCCGCCCAATCTAGTCTACGGCGTTGATCAGCGCACCGCCGAGCGCTTAGTCTTCTGGCGGCAGGCTCTTCGCGATAAAGAGAGACTAGCAGCTTCTTTCGCTAGTTGGAAGGAGAACCAGTCCTGTCGAAATCAAATAGTAGATCCCAGAGGCGTTTAAGCCTCAACACACCTTCCATTCTCCATTCCCATCACATAGCCGCGTCAGCCTCGACGGCTCTTATGCACGCCTCTATGATAATCGAAGCTTAGTTCAATCATCGAACGCCGCTGTTATGAGAACCCAGGGGCGCAGATGCATCGATAAAGGTTGGTGGGGACGATCAGCGGAGTTCTAATCAGGGTTGGCTAGTGAAGAAGATGGGGGTTCGCTGAGCGGTTAATGTGAGACGTCGAGATACTAAGGGGCTTGCGGCGGCTGCGTTTGTGCCTATCGCGCCGCGCCTCGCTCCATGAGAGCTCTCGTACGGACCGCGAATTTAATAGCGTAGTGGCTCCGCCTTTTATAGAACATTTGTAGTAAGTGTACCTACAATAAAAGTCCTCCAGCCGCATATATCCACGCGACGACTCGCCGCATCAGGCGCTGCTTTTCGCTCACGCAGCTCTCAAGACCGGAGCCTCGGCGCATTTCACAACATCTGGTGATGTACTCTTCCAAAATCGCCCGCCGCCGGCCAGGGCTACTGCTAGCCACCGGGATACCTAATTACTAATATCTTCGGACGAGTTACGAGTTCTAGCCTCTGAAAATGTCCACCAAAGGCTCCGGGTAGCGCCACTAGCCTCAGGATGTCTCTACTCAGAGACGCACCAATTTAGCAATTAGATACGTGCTGCATACCCCTCCGCATATGGGGATCCTTTACATCTTTCCTCTAATCGCAGACCACTCAAGAGCAACCTCGTTGCCTCCAACCGCCCTTCATGACCTTGTTGTCTGTGCCCTCCCGTCCTTACCACTACAGCAGGATGAAGAGCGGTGACGCGCAGCGCGAGCGCCAACCCTGACGCCGCCACCGCCACCGAAGAAGAAGAAGAAGCAGAAGCTAAAGTCCTGGCCAGGGGATAAGAGGGTCACCCAAGGCTCTTCTCCATTGAAGGGATATTGCTTCGCCGTTCAAGTTCCTATCCTAGCGGAACTTTACCCACAGTACACATGCGCCGCATCATTTCAACGACTGTTTGCTGTTCTGTGTGTTCGGATCGATTCTCGTTCAAACCTATCCCAGGTAGCGAGAACGACGGATAGGCTGCTAATCGATTTTTGGCTATGGCTAGATATGAGGACGCGAGCTTGGACGAAGGGATCGAACGACAGGCTCGATCAATAAACTTGCTAGCCCAATAAACTGGGAGGAAATCGTTCGTGGTATATAACACTCCCCATCCACGGCCCGCATGTTCGAGGACGCGAGAATGGGGTGCCTGATGGACATATGATCATGGAGCCTAGGAAAGTAACTTGTCTAGACTTTCGAAGCTTTTCTAACGATCGGAAGGGGTATTATGCCGCCCTTGAAGTTCTACACCGGCTCCACAGTTAATATTAAATGACGGCGGGCGGTCTACGCAGGCCCTATACTATGCGCCCCAGTCTGAAAGCGGTATCTTTGCTGAGGCGACTACTATACTCCTACCACAGAGGTAGTCTGAGCCGAGCAGCCATCAACGTTGATTTAGATCCTGAGGCAAGGTAATATGAGGAGCCTGGATGAGCCCTTCGACAAACTCTAATGGTTAGGAAACCTGTCGCCTATTGGGAAACCTTCATTTATTATCGCAGAATCGAACTGCGAGACGCTTGTATGTAAATGGGCCGGAGTCTTGCTGATTATCTCTCTAGTATTGGCAGCGTCATCTATCTTACGCAAAGACTGTGCAGAGATTTTGAACGGACTACGTCTAAGGTAGCAAGCATTCTAGGCTAGCACTGTCTATCTTGCACCACCTACCGCCTAGTTATTATTGCAGGCACTGGGCGCTGGTTTAACGTACTTCGCGTTGCTTCACACCTACAACGTGGAGGGAGAATAGTGCGAATGACACTATAAGGCGCGGCGGAAGCAGTCGACGCTTCCTCGCATTGACTACGAGAAGATCTGTATCTGACACTGAGTGCAGGCTAGAGATAAACACCATGGTCTTGATCTACATCTAGGGTGAATAAGGAGAAGGTTCTTGACCCTCCCTCTACTCTTGTTGCATGTTATGGACGATAGACTGGCCTTTATGGTGGAAGAACTTTATCTCTAATGATAACGACCTCACGCAATGACTACCTGGGACGAAAGTAAACTTAGAAGCACCGGCATTGCATATTAGGTCGCAAACCTTCTCTTGCCTGGACCTGAGCAGGTACACAATGTTCGCGACGTTGAGCCAGTCACCATGAACGACTCTGAGGCTCACTAATCCGCGGATGAACGTGGGAGCAGTCCAAGAACATTATCATACTGCTACAGATGGAGATGGATAGGTATATTGACATGTACACGGACAACGTCGTCATCGAGATTGGGGATAAGGGCAGGCCCGGCATCAAAGAGACTGCATTGGCCATAGAAACATTTATTCTAATGGGCGGCTACGTTGCAATCCAATACATAATCTTTCCCCCCTTTCGCCGTTCATGCTCCCTGGCTTCCTCGTCCTCCGTCCTTTCGCGACGTACGCCGATACGCCGTATTACGCGACTACCTTCCCTTACTTCCAAGACAGCAATGTTGGAACTCACAAGATTCATTTCCCATGCTAAATTGTCCAGCCCGCTCAACCAGCATCACATGTGGTGAAAAATGGGTGCTAGAAGGTGAAGATTCAGGCACATGCTGCCATGGTTGGGCGGTGGATAACCAGCAATCAAGCTGATAGTTGGCGGACTGAGAAAGACCATGCTGTGGGAAACCCCCCAGGAACGAACCAGATGTAGGCAGCCACTGTTGGGTTCCAGGAGTCCAACCAGCAAGAGAAAGGTCCGGAAACAGAGGGAGGCCATGCTAATAGAAGGGATACTCCAGTGTTGGATTGGCGAAGGGGAAAGCAACCTGCGTCGGCGGTGGTAGTAGCAGGTCCACCTTAGGGTATTGGTCAGTCCAGTCAGTTACGACAGCATTGCCGATGCGATACTGAGGTGGGGGTATGGGATGAGAAGCCGTGGGAGCTTGTTCCGCACTCGACGAGAATGCATTCTCAGGACAACCGCGTTCAGTCGGCACACTGTATGGCGGGATGGTAAGACTTGATGGCCTAAGATCAGGTGGGCTCTCCTGGGTACGAGACGAGGCACAAGGGGTAGCTATACCATGGTGCTGGGCTGGCGCGAGGATGTGTGTTCGAGGAGGCACAAGGATGGGAGTTGGAGGGGGTGCAGTGTCCCAGATTGACTTGACCGGGGTCCATGGGTTGATGCCAGTCTTGGTGAGTGCGCGGTCTTGACTTAGTTGATATCTGGTCTAGTCATTGAATGGGGCGCGAACCTGCATCTGATTCCGCATAGCCGCTATCGAGGCTTTTCTCTGGTGTGTTCATCTAGAGGCGCTTCCTTGTGAATATTCGCGTGAAACCAAAGTAGAAGAAGACGTGAGGATCCGTGGCCTACCAGATGGACAAAAAGGTCAGGAGCAAAGTCTGGGAGAGTTAAATAAGGGTTGGTTGTCCGGGACAGGTTGCTCCCATCCCTCACACCTCGATAAGTGGACAGTCGGGATTGTTAAATGTTGCACGGTGCTGCATCTGGACCATGTACAATGGAGCGGCGTTTGACGCAGCCTTAATACGATGGCCGGCGTTCGCACGCCCAGAGGAGTGTAAATCCCTTGCCAGATACCGGGAGCATGGCCCAATATGGAGAGATGTGGATCCTGCAAACGAGAGGTGCCGTCCATCCCCACAACTGTGGGAGGCAGACAAAGAAGTGTGAAACAGCAGTGCAGGAAGGCAGCCAGGGCGTTTACTCGAAGGGGTAGACATCTGCCGCGAAACGAGGTCGGCCGTCCAGCCGTGTGACCCTGGAGATCCAGACAAAGAAGTGTAAGACACGGCCTGAAAAAGCACCTGACAAGGCAATGTTTGCTGTTGAACAAGAAAATCGAATGATTAACGAGATGATAGGATTTTCCTCCAGAAGGATTGTATAGGAATCCGTATAGAATCCCATGGTAAAAGCGATAGTTGTGGCTGAGTGCAAACGCATTCACATTGTCGGCCCCAACAGTTATTCACTTCAAGCTAACCTAAGGCTCGACTGGGATAGTGTGTGACACGCGAACGGGAACCTACACAGGCCGATCTTCCGGAGCCTGATATGGAAGATGCTTCCACCTGTAATATCCCAGAGGCTGGGAGCATTGATTCGGTTCGATGGACGCCCGTTTGCAGAGCTTCACGATCCAAACAGGGGTGAGTGACATGTGGGTAGCTGTCAGAGATGGCCTAATGAATGCAGCTAATTGATCTCCGCCTGATGGCATGCTTCCTGCAGCCATCCCGCTTTCTGCATTCCATCGGTGGCTTCGGTAATCTGGGCTCTGACGGCGTCTGCAGCGTGCGCACTGTCGAAGGCGGGGCAGACGCGGGCTTCCCGCCACCTGCAAGTGTCGACCGCGTCGTTGCACACCTGGGCAACGGGATCTACGGCCGCCTAGCGCAGCTTCTACTGCTCCAAAAGCGGGTGAATGGTGATGGTGACATGGCAGAAGGGGTCATTTCGGACCAAGGCGGGGGCTTCAGCGGCTGATTGTGAAGTACTATCAGTTTCTCTCATTACAGTCCCTTCGTTGTCGGCGTAGTTGTTGTTATAATCCAGCTCGAAGCCAGACAGTCTACCGATCGGGCTGGAGGTAGGGTCACTAAGTGTAACGGAGTCGTGGAGGCCGCCGTGTTCGGAGTGGTGAATCTCAAAAGGGCCAGTCTCTGAGCACTCAACCTTAGAGGGATCAACTTCAGCAGTAGGAAATGGAAAGCCATCCGACACGGCGCAGGCAGGGGTCGAGACGATCGAGCACTGGCAGCGTCTACGCGCGGTCTCCACGGAACGCCGCTCGACTGGGTTTCTACGACGGTAAGGGCGCTTCATCGAGGGCTCCGGGGTCAGGGCGGCCATCGCCACTTTCGTAACATCTGGCCATGCTCACTCGTCGACGCCGATTCCACAGCAGCGGACAGGCGAGAAGAGACTTCCGAATCTTCCGCCACGATTGTGTAATGATGGATCTCGAGACTGCCATGCCTGCCAGGGAAGCTGGCAGTAAGTGAAGGGAGGTAGTCGAGCAGCCAGTCAACGAAATCGTTGAGGCAGGGGAAGCGGTTGACCAGAGCGGCAGGGTGCTCAATCAGGTATCTGAGAGTATCAATGTCGGGGCATCGGAGCGTCGACGGTGTGGTCTGATGCATACGCAGACCAAGGGTCTTGTATAAGATGACATGTATACAGCTGGCATCTGGAAAGTGGGCTCAACAGCAGTCGAGGTATCGTAATCCTCCTATGCGGGTAGCTTCAGCACTACGTGCTCATTAGGTGCGGAAGTGTTGGGGAATTTAGCCCCAGCCTTTCTTTGGACCACCGCTGTGGAAGGAGCTCGAATTTCAAAGGACTCACGACTCTTCCACGGGGCTCAGGTCGTCGCTCGCAGAGCCTCCTCCAGGGCTACCTGCATGGCATACACAACTCCGCGGCTGTCGATCTTAGGGGACGAAAACTGTCACGGTGGGACGTATGTGTGGATACTTGCTAGTCATCTTTCCGCAAAGCACGAGTGGGTCTTCTTCCACAGCACTTGCCCTCAGAGTGTGCGATTGTAAGCAATGTTGTCAGCTCGTTCGGGATGGTGGTGATATGTACCAAGTTGTATGCTTGCTGAGCAAAATCTTTTAATAGGGAGTACGACGAAGAATATGATATAATTTGAGCCCGTTGTTGAGGATAGAGCTTCAGGAATAAGAAACGAGAAACCCGTCCCCTCGATTCGCCAGCCGAGCTATTCATTACGGACATTAATGCAGATTCAAAGGTCTCTAAACATCGCTCAGGTACCGAAAGAGGGATGAATGAGGAATTGAATTGCTTTCAGAGGTGTAGAAGACTAGCTCGAAGGTGTAGAAAAGAAAGAAATACCCAGCAGTATATGCCTATCCGCTGGTCGAAAAGCCCATGACCGCGCCCAATATACTGCTGTATGCTCTGCTAAGTCGAAAAGTGCATATCCTATCCAATGTGATGGCTAGTCAGCCTTATCCATCAAGTTGCTGGAATTCGAAGATGCAGGAAGTCTTGCTAGATCGAGGGACAAAAGCAGCCGCGACATGGGGATCTCCTGTTGCTTCCCGCAAGCGATGCAGCGGCTATCGACATATTCCGCTTGGTCAGGTTGGGAATGCTGGTGGTCGTTGTCCAGCGCTTGCCGCTTCTTGCGCCGCTTCTCTGCTCCCTGGCCGTTCTCTCTATCGTCGTGCGGGTGCTTGCGCTTGCTCAATGGGCTCTCGTTCTTGGCCTTGCTCTGGACATCCGCACGGAGGATCCACATCTGCTGCTGCCAATCAAAGACCCAGGGCTCCCTGCTGCGCAGACTTCGAACGACCTTGGGTCCCTGCTCTTGATGGAGTGTAGTCCCATCGAATGGCATAATACGAATGATGTTCGACTTTGGAATTGCACCGCATGCCAGCCACTCGTAGTCATGGCCTTTAGTGGCAGGCACCTTCAGGTTCGAGAGGCGGAGCTCGGTGATGGAAAGCCACATGACTGCACCGGATGTGGCCAGTTGCTCGACCGAAATTGCTGCAGCATCATCTGGAATGGCACTCTCATGCACCCATGCGGGGATCTGGACATCGCGCGTGGTGACAGTGACGCTCTCAGTCTTTCCTAGTAGTGAATCCTTCCATGTAGTCAGCACCGTCTCCTCCAGAGTTCCTCGGACTGTTGCTGCGATAAGACCCGATGTGCTTATCTTTGCAACCGAAATACGTTGTCCGATACGTTGGCTATGGTTCGAGTGAAACTCTGCGCGCCTCACTGCGTAGCCTTGAGGAGAATTAGTACTAGCGTGAACAATGCTGAACTCACACTTACGAATGCAATTGAAGGCAGATATGTACGACGAAGGGTCCCGTTTCTGCTGCCATCGCAAATGGCGCTCCATCCGTACTCTTGTCAAGTCTCGGGCAGCAGAGAATTTGCTGATAGCCTGGAATGCGTTGCCCTCCCTCAGTTTCAACTTCGGCTGCTCTCGATGCTTGACATGGGTATGCTTGCTAACGTAACTCGAGAGTGTGGCCGATGTCTCATAAAAGACGCGGTAAAGGAATGGTGGACGCATGTTGCTGACATTACGAATGAGCTCAGACGGCTCAGAGAATGTTCTGGTAGAGTTCAGCACAATGTCAGTATAGGCACGGAGAGCCATACATCTCGATAGGATCCAGAAGCCTCGAGCTAAGTTTTTGGTTGTGCTGGCGGGAGTTTTCGGCAGCCACTCCAGTAGCTTCTCCGATTGTGGGGCTCGTCGGGAGAAGGGTCGAATCCTGGCGCCGAGTGCTGGCAAGAGCGGAAAGATCCATTTCCCACAGTTCCAGGTGCCGCCGGTGTGGATCTTGATTGAGTAAGGACTTGTATAGGTTGAAAGGTTTATTGTTTCATAGAAACGGTCGAGTGAGGTAGGTAAAGTTTTCGAGCTAGAAGAGGAGGGCAAGTGAGAGAGACTGCGCCTCTAACGGCCGCAGGTAAAGTTGACCGGGGTGTGTTGATTGATTGATTGATTTTTCTGGGGTGTGTTGGGGGAACCTCACCTCATTCGGCGATATACATGTGAGCATGTACGCTGGTACGTTCCTAGCTGGAGGACTGCCGCGGGATGCGCAGCTTTCTACCACGTTATGATGCTGAGCATACTTCATTAAAGGCTAGAAGAATAGCCAGGAGCTAGTATTGCATAGCCATCTCTGAATACGCGGCATCAACTGAGATCTAAGTGTTATACTAAAAAGCAACGAGAGATTGCCGCGTTCAAAGTCGACATGCTGAAGCAGCTACGAGGCGCGGGGAGTTAACGTGCGGGATGTTAAAGGAACCACGTAAGCGAGGAAGAGAAGAATGGAGAGCTTGGTAGAGCCTTGGGAGCTGGATTGGTGAGGGCGGCTGCGTTAGTGAGGGAAAGGCCGCACCAGTGAAGAAGGCTGTGTTGGTGAAGGAGGCTGTGTTGATGGAGGAAGCTGCATTGGTAAAGGAGACTGCTTTGTCATAGGTTGCACATTTATATGACAGCTGACCCGCACAGCATTGTTGAACGTGGAATCGTGGAATAGCGCGACTCTGGGGTGTCGACTTCCTGGCACTGTCGTTCGAGACGTTACGAAGCAATTCCACTATAGAAGAATAAGCGTGTTACAGTTGCCGTTGCTATTTGGAGACGCCTACTTTGAATTAAGGTTGTTCTCTTTACGCTAAGCAGGCTAGAGTTAGAGCAGAGTAGACGAGGACAAATCTCTTAAACAAGATAAATAATAGTTATGTTAAGCTTACTATTAGTATACGCCTAAATAGAGAACGCTATATTTAATTAATCTATTATATTCTAGATAACGTATAGGCCTTATATTAGCTCTCTAAGTAGTATTCTATACGCAAGCTCTAGCTTCTAGAATAGAGATAGAGTACTAGTTAATAGTATAAACTAGTAGAGAATAGCGTAGAGTTTATTAAGGTCTACTAGAGTTATTTAAAATCTATACGTTATAAGAAGTAACGTACTTTATTATCGAAAGCCTTATATTATTAAAAGCCTTATATTATCGAAAGCCCCACGATTTCTTGGCAACGAAAATCAACGAAAATCAACCCGTTTTTCTTAAATAACTAAGCAAAACCTTAATATTTTTATATAAAAATTTATATATATATTCTTTATAGTATATTACACCTTATACTAAAGTTACACTAAGATATATTACGTAATTAGAAAGCTATACGTATTTAGGTAACTTTTAAGAAAAATCTAGTTTACTTCTAGTTAATACTATTATATCTTTATAATAATATATAAAACTTATTAAATATAGTATATATAAGTTAATAAAGGTTTCTAGAAAACTTTTATAGAGCTAGCTCTTCTAGGTATAGCGTAATAAGAGATAGAACTTAAAAAAATATCTTCTTTAGAGTTTTCTCTTCTAACTATATATATATATAGTTAATCTAGCTATAAAACTTATTATTATATAGATTATAGTAGACTTTAACTATATAGAGCTTATAATCTAATAATATAGTAGCTTTAAGTAGTTATTTAAAAGTAAAGTCTTTTTAGTAGTATAGTATAGAAAGAGAAAATATACTAAAACTATCTTAAAATTATTACTTCTAAATATATAGCAGGCTTATAGTATATATAATCTTATAGTATATAGCTTTATATAGCTAGATTATTTATATATATCTATAGTTAGAGAAGAAAACTTTAGAAAGATTTTTTTAAACTTCTACCTCTTATTACGCTATATCTAGAAGAGCTAGCTCTATAAAAGTTTTCTAGAAATCTTTATTATATTATAGATACTATATACTATAAGTTTTATAGATTATTATAGAGATATAATAGTACTTACTAGAAGAAAACTAGATTTTTTCTAAAATTTAGTTAAATATATATAGCTTTTTAATTACGTAATATATCTTAGTGTAACTTTAGTACAAGGTGTAACGTACTTTACTATCGAACCGGTTACCCTATCGAACAACCTACGATTTCTTGACAAGGAAAATTAACAGGACTTTACGAGTTTTTCTTAAATAACTAAGCGAAACCTTAATACTTTTCTATAAAAATTTATATATATATTCTCTATAGTATATTACACCTTATAGTAAAGTTGCACTAAGATATATTACGTAATTAAAAAGCTATACGTATTTAAGTAACATTTAAGAAAAATCTAGCTTACTTCTAGTAAGTAGTATTATATCTCTATAATAATCTATAAAACTTATAGTATATAGTATTTACAGCTTAATAAAGGTTTCTAGAAAACTTTTATAGAGCTAGCTCTTCTAGGTATAGCGTAATAAGAGATAGAAGGTAGAAAATTTTCTTCTTAGAGTTTTCTTCTTCTACCTATATATATATAGTTAATCTAGCTCTATAAACTTATTATTTTATAAATTATAGTAGGCTTTAACTATATAGAGCTTATTAACTAATAATATAGTAGCTTTAAGTAGTTATTTAAAAGTAAAGTCTTTTTAGTAGTATAGTATAGAAAGATAGAAAGATACTAAAAGTATTTTAAAATTATTACTTCTAAATACATAGAAGGCTTATAGTATATATAATCTTATAATATATAACTTTATATAGCTAGATTACTAATATATATATATAATTAGAGAATAAAACTCTAGAAAGACTTTTTCTAACTTCTATCTCTTATTACGCTATACCTAGAAGGGCTAGCGCTATAGAAGTTTTCTAGAAACCTTTATTAAGTTATATATACTATATACTATAAGTTTTATAGATTATTATAGAGATATAATAGTACTAACTAGAAGTAAACTAGACTTTTTCTTAAAAGTTATTTAAATACGTATAGCTTTCTAATTACGTAATATATTTTAGTGCAACTTTAGTATAAGGTGTAATATACTATAAAGAATGTATACATAAATTTTTATAGAAAAGTACTAAGGTTTCGCTTAGTTATTTAAGAAAAACGGGTTAATTTTCGTTGATTTTTCTTGCCAAGAAATCGTGAGGCGTTCGGTAGTGTAGGGCGTTCGGTAGTAAAGTACGTTAGAGGTTTTCTTCTTATTAGTAATAAGCTAATCTATCTTATAGATACTAAGATATCTAATTATAATATTTATTCTATACATATTAATTATAAAGATAGTAGCGCTAACTATATTAACGTTAAGCCTAGTCTTTAAACATATTTCTTATAAAATAGATAGCTTTTTTAGCTTATAAGGTAACCTAGTAGGCTAGTTAAGATTCTTAAGCTACCTATCTATCTTACGTAGGTTTTCTTAAAGCTTCTAGTATTATAATTTTCTCTTCTCTTATTATAATACTCTTAGCTTTTCTACTACTAATATTAAGACTTTATAGTAATTAGTATTAGCTTAGTAAGCTACTTAAGCTTTAGTAGTAAATTAATAGAATTATATAGAGATAAACGCGTCGCGTTTATAATTAATTAATTAATTAGTATCTAGCTATATTAGTACATACTACTTATAGTTAACCTAAATATTAATATCTTTAAGTAGCTTATAACTAATTATTATATTATAGTAACTAGTATTATAATATATAAAGTAGATACGTATTTAGTAGCTTTCTAGTACTAAATTAGCTTTAAAGTATTTATCTACCTAGCTATTAGATTATCTATTATATCTAGTAAGAGAAATAAGTTCTATATATAATAGCTTAACGTAGAGGTTTTTTCTAAGAGTCTAAAGGTACTTTAGGTATACTAGAACATAACTACCTACTCTAGTATTAATTAAGCCTCTAAGCTTAATAGTAAGACTATTTATAGATATTTAGTAGAGTAGAGTAAACATAGAACTACTAAATAGCTTTTTATATAGATTTATTACTCTAGTAGATAGCTTTAGAGAAAAGACTTCTTCTAGAGCTAGGCTTTTTCTAAATTATTAGATTTATATTCTAATATATTATTCTTAGATACTTATAGCTCTATAAGCTTTATAAACTTCTTTTCTAGATTAATATTCTTAATAGCTTTCTACGTAGTAGAAGTACTTAGGTAATTATAGCTTATATAGCTAGGTTACTAGTATTAGAAGTAGATAACTAGCTTTCTAATTACTAGAGCTTTATTAGAGGTTAGTAGAATACCTAGAAGAGTAGTAGGCGCGTAACGTAGCGTTAACGTAAGTACGTTATATTTTTTAACTTTTCTAGATATATAAGCTTCTTCTTAGATAAGCTTTCTAGTAAGGTTTTAAGTAAAATCTATATATTAATTATAATTATAAGTATACTAACGTTAGTAGATATCTATCTACGTATATAAGTTTACTAGAAGCTTTTTATAAAGCTTCTCTACCTATTAGTCTATTAGAAGCTAGCGCTTCTATGCTAGGTAGAAGAAATTAACCTAGAAGTACGTAAAGTTAGTAGTAGTTTAGTAATATAGATTCTAGAAATTATAGTAAGTATTTAGCTTTTTATAAAGGTTTATATAGCTTTTCTCTAGCTAATTAAGTATATATTTATAAGAAATCTATATACTACTATTTCTTAGAGTATATAGAATTATAGAAAGAGTTTAATATATATATTTTTTTTATCTATAT